TGTGTGAGTCTATGGGTCTCTGTGTGTGAGTCTATGGGTCTCTGTGTGAGTGTATGGGTCTCTGTGCGATGTGTCTATGGGTCTGTGTGTGAGTCTTTGAGTCTCTGTGCGATGTGTTTGTGTGTGAGTCTATGGGTCTCTGTGTGTGAGTCTATGGGTCTCTGTGTGTGAGTGTATGGGTCTGTGTGTGAGTCTATGGGTCTCTGTGTGTGAGTCTATAGGTCTCTGTGTGAGTCTATGGGTCTGTGTGAGTCTATGGGTCTCTGTGTGTGATTCTATGGGTCTCTGTGTGTGAGTCTATGGGTCTGTGTGTGAGTCTATGGGTCTCTGTGTGTGAGTCTATGGGTCTCTGTGTGTGAGTCTATGGGTTTGTGTGTGAGTCTATGGGTCTCTGTGTGTGAGTCTATAGGTCTCTGTGTGAGTCTATGGGTCTGTGTGTGAGTCTATGGGTCTCTGTGTGTGAGTCTATGGGTCTCTGTGTGAGTGTATGGGTCTCTGTGCGATGTGTCTATGGGTCTGTGTGTGAGTCTTTGAGTCTCTGTGCGATGTGTTTGTGTGTGAGTCTATGGGTCTCTGTGTGTGAGTCTATGGGTCTCTGTGTGTGAGTCTATGGGTTTGTGTGTGAGTCTATGGGTCTCTGTGTGTGAGTCTATAGGTCTCTGTGTGAGTCTATGGGTCTGTGTGAGTCTATGGGTCTCTGTGTGTGAGTCTATGGGTCTCTGTGTGTGAGTCTATGGGTCTGTGTGTGAGTCTATGGGTCTCTGTGTGTGAGTCTATGGGTCTCTGTGTGTGAGTCTATGGGTTTGTGTGTGAGTCTATGGGTCTCTGTGTGTGAGTCTATAGGTCTCTGTGTGAGTCTATGGGTCTGTGTGTGAGTCTATGGGTCTCTGTGTGTGAGTCTATGGGTCTCTGTGTGTGAGTGTATGGGTCTGTGTGTGAGTCTATGGGTCTCTGTGTGTGAGTCTATGGGTCTCTGTGTGTGAGTCTATGGGTTTGTGTGTGAGTCTATGGGTCTCTGTGTGTGAGTCTATAGGTCTCTGTGTGAGTCTATGGGTCTGTGTGTGAGTCTATGGGTCTCTGTGTGTGAGTCTATGGGTCTCTGTGTGTGAGTCTATGGGTCTGTGTGAGAGTCTATGGGTCTGTGTGTGAGTCTATGGGTCTCTGTGTGTGAGTCTATGGGTCTCTGTGTGTGAGTCTATGGGTTTGTGTGTGAGTCTATGGGTCTCTGTGTATGAGTCTATAGGTCTCTGTGTGAGTCTATGGGTCTGTGTGAGTCTATGGGTCTCTGTGTGTGAGTCTATGGGTCTCTGTGTGTGAGTGTATGGGTCTGTGTGTGAGTCTATGGGTCTCTGTGTGTGAGTCTATGGGTCTCTGTGTGTGAGTCTATGGGTTTGTGTGTGAGTATATGGGTCTCTGTGTGTGAGTCTATAGGTCTCTGTGTGAGTCTATGGGTCTGTGTGTGAGTCTATGGGTCTCTGTGTGTGAGTCTATGGGTCTCTGTGTGTGAGTCTATGGGTCTCTGTGTGTAAGTGTATGGGTCTGTGTGAGAGTCTATGGGTCTGTGTGTGAGTCTATGGGTCTCTGTGTGTGAGTCTATGGGTCTCTGTGTGTGAGTCTATAGGTCTCTGTGTGAGTCTATGGGTCTGTGTGTGAGTCTATGGGTCTCTGTGTGTGAGTCTATGGGTCTCTGTGTGTGAGTCTATGGGTCTCTGTGTGTGAGTCTATGGGTCTCTGTGTGTAAGTGTATGGGTCTGTGTGAGAGTCTATGGGTCTGTGTGTGAGTCTATGCGTCTCTGTGTGTGAGTCTATGGGTCTCTGTGTGTGAGTGTATAGGTCTCTGTGTGAGTCTATGGGTCTGTGTGTGAGTCTATGGGTCTCTGTGTGTGAGTCTATGGGTCTCTGTGTGTGAGTCTATGGGTCTCTGTGTGTGAGTCTATGGGTCTCTGTGTGTAAGTGTATGGGTCTGTGTGAGAGTCTATGGGTCTGTGTTTGTGAGTCTATGGGTCTCTGTGTGTGAGTCTATGGGTCTCTGTGTGTAAGTGTATGGGTCTGTGTGAGAGTCTATGGGTCTGTGTGTGAGTCTATGGGTCTCTGTGTGTGAGTCTATGGGTCTCTGTGTGTGAGTGTATAGGTCTCTGTGTGAGTCTATGGGTCTCTGTGTGTGAGTCTATGAGTCTCTGTGTGAGTCTATGGGTCTCTGTGTTTGAGTGTATGGGTCTCTGTGTGAGTCTATGGGTCTCTGTGTGTGAGTTTATAGGTCTCGGTGCGATGTGTCTTTGGGTCTCTGTGCGATGTGTCTATGGGTCTGTGTGTGAGTCTTTGAGTCTCTGTGCGATGTGTCTGTGTGTGAGTCTATGGGTCTCTGTGTGAGTCTATGGGTCTGTGTGTGAGTCTATGGGTCTGTGTGTGAGTCTATGGGTCTCTGTGTGAGTGTATGGGTCTCTGGGAGAGTCTATGTGTCTCTGTGTGAGTCTTTGGGTCTCTGTGCGATGTGTCTGTGTGTGAGTCTATTGGTCTCTGTGTGAGTCTATAGGTCTCGGTGCGATGTGTCTGCGGGTCTGTGTGTGAGTCTATCGGTCTCTGTGTGAGTCTTTGGGTCTCTGTGCGATGTGTCTCTGTGTGAGTCTATGGGTCTCTGTAGATAAGTCGGATTTTATGTGAGTATGGGTCTCTATGTGAGTCTATGGATCTCTGTGTGGTCTATGGGCATCTGAGTCTATGTGTCTCTGTGCGAGTCTATGGGTCTCCGTGTGAGTCCGTGATTCTCTATGTGAGTCCGCGTGTCTCAGTGTGAAGTGCCTTCTGCCACTCTCATTACCGATCATTGCCCCACGCGAACCTTTGGAGAGGGGAAAAACCTGACCCCGTCTGGCAACCCGGATGGCTTCACCAAACTCATCGCACACACGCAGATTTAAAATACACGCGCCCGTCGCCTTTCAAATGCCTTACAAAAACAAGAACCGGGGTCTGCCCCCTGACCCAGCCGGCGAGCCTCCCATACTGCACGTGCCCTCAAAGCGCACCTAGCCTGGCATAAGTACCGAGGCAACGTCGCACCCCCCCACTTAGTGACTCACTGCGCTGCGAACCCGCTCGCGGCCGACACCATTGACGAATTCCTGAACCGGTTCTGGGCCTCCCCTAGGTCGACTTAACCTCAAATGAGTATCTGGTGCGGTGCGTAAACATTCGCCAACTGGGGAGACAAAGGCGGCCGGGCGTGGTGCTGGCCACCCACCCCCTCGCGTGCCGTGCCGGCCTTCATAGGTGCTACTCGCTAACAGCACTTGCCCCAACAGTCTGTTAAGGCTACACGGGGGATCTTTGTGTTTGTGGCTATGCTTGTGGCTTGCCTGCGATTGTGTTGTTGCTGTGGTCTGTGTTTGTACGTTTGTCTGTAATCGTAGGGCTGTGTCTGTACCTGAACTCGTTCAAGAGGGCCTTTGAGGGCCCGAGTTCTCTGCGCGTACAATGCACGCCTTTGTGTGTCGCTCAGGCCGCGTGTACGTGTCTGCATGGTCGTGTCCGCACCCGCGTGGGTGTGTGCCGGTTGTCTGTGTCGGTGCCGTGTCTGTGGTGTCGGTGTTGTGTCTGTGTTGGTGCTGTGGTTGTGGTTGTGGCTCGAGGTCACACCGCGGGTGCGTGGTTGGCGCTGCCGCTGTGCGCAAACAAATCCCTTTTGTCCCTTTGCCCAGAAAACTCTCGGAGTTTTTACTTCCCCGGGAGGGGGGGGGGGAGGAAAGGCAGGAGGAGAAAGAGCCAGGGAGGAGGAGATGGAGGAGGTGGAGGAGGTGGAGGAGGTGGAGGAGATGGAAGAGGTGGAGGAGATGGAAGAGGTGGAGGAGATGGAAGAGGTGGAGGAGATGGAGGTGGAATATGAGGAGTTGGAGGGAAGAACATGGACATAGAGTAGGGAGAGAGGGGGTAGAGAGAGAGGGGGGGTAGAAAGAGAGGGGGGGGGGTATAAAGAGAGGGGGGGGGTAGAGAGAGAGAGGGGGGGGTAGAAAGAGAGGGGGGTAGAGAGAGAGAGGGGGGGGGGGTATAAAGAGAGGGGGGGGGGTAGAGAGAGAGGGGGGGGTAGAAAGAGAGGGGGTAGAGAGAGGGGGGGGGGGGTAGAGAGAGAGAGGGGGGGGGGGAGAGAGAGGGGGTACAGAGAGAGGGAAGGGGTAAGCAGGAGGCGAGCAGAGCGTGAAATATTTTGTGAAATATTTCGTTTGAAAAGGATGGGGGGGGGGGGGGGCACATAAAGCAAAACATTGAGAAAAAAAACCCAAAAAAAACTAAACGATGAACGAAGCAAAGTGCCGACGACACCGATGATCTTCTTGTTTCCTCTGATCGTAAAAAGAAAAAAAGAGAGAGAATGAGCGAGTCAGCTCCGCCCATCATTCTTAACCCCACGGGGGCTGCGGGAGAGAGAATGGGGGAGAGCGAGCGGGCAGGGGAGAGAACTGGGGAGTGAGGGGGGAGTGAGGGGGGGGGAGTGAAGGGGGGGGAGTGAGGGGGGGGAGTGAGGGGGGGGTGAGGGGGGGGAGTGAGGGGGGGGAGTGAGGGGGGGGAGTGAGGGGGAGTGAGGGGGGGGGGGAGTGAGGGGGGAGAATTAGGGGGAGTGAGGGGGGAGAGGGGGGGAGGTGGGGGGGGGGGAGAATGAGGGGGAGTGAGGGGGGGGGAGTGAGGGAGGTGGGGGGAGAGTGAGGGAGGTGGGGGGGTTAGGGGGGAGAATGGGGGGGAGTGAGGGGGAAGAGTGAGGGAGGTGGGGGGAGTGAGGGGGGGGGGAGAATTAGGGGGAGTGAGGGGGGGAGAGTGAGGGAGGTGGGGGGGGGAGTGAGGGAGGTGGGGGGGGGAGTGAGGGAGGTGGGAGCGAGAATGAGGTGGTGGGGGGGGGAGAGAACTGGAGACGGGAGGGAGGGAGGGAGGGAGGAGAACAGGAGGAGGAGGAGCTGGGAGCGCGTAGGAGCGAGCCGCATTTCTTGGCTTCGTCCGTGAGACGCGAGCGAAGGAGGGAGGAGGGAGACACGAGAGAGAGAGGCGAGAGAGAGAGAGAGAGACGAGGCAGAGACACGGGCGCTGAGAATCGCGACTCCCACCCACCCCCCACAACGCCCTTCCTCCCCGCCATCCCGGCCCGCGGCTCCGACTCCGCTGCCCGCACCACGCGGGGAGCTGCACGCGGCCTCCGGCGGTCCGGTACGACGGGGCAGGGCAGGGGAGGAGGGCAGGGGAGGATGGGGTTGAAAGGCAGGGGGAGAAGGGGGGTTAAGGGCAGGGGAGCAGGGAGAGAAGGGCAGGGGAGGAGGGAGAGAAGGGGAGGGTAGAGTAGGGTTAAGGGCAGGGGAGCAGGGAGAGAAGGAGGGGGGAGAGAAGGGCAGGGGAGGGGGGAGAGAAGGGCAGGGGAGGGGGGAGAGAAGGGCAGGGGGAGAGAAGAGGGCAGGGAGGAGGGAGAGAAGGGGAGGGGGGAGAGAAGGGCAGGGGAGGGGGGAGAGAAGGGCAGGGGAGGGGGGAGAGAAGGGGAGGGGGGAGAGAAGGGCAGGGGGGAGAGAAGGGCAGGGGGAGAAGGGCAGGGGGAGAAGGGCAGGGGGAGAAGGGCAGGGGGAGAAGGGCAGGGGGAGAAGGGCAGGGGGAGAAGGGCAGGGGAGGAGGGGGAGAAGGGCAGGGGGAGAAGGGCAGGGGGAGGGGGGAGAAGTGCAGGGGAGGGGAAGAGAAGGGCAGGGGAGGGGGGAGAGAAGGGCAGGGGAGGGGGGAGAGAAGGGCAGGGGGAGGGGGGAGAGAAGGGCAGGGAGGGGGAGGGTAGAGTGTGGGAGGAGGGAGAGAAGGGCAGGGGAGGGGGGAGAGAAGGGCAGGGGGTATATGCTGGGACTCACAGGGCGCTGGGGGCCCACGGGGTGTGCTGCCCGCTGTCTCCGACCCCTGGGAGGGCGCGAACCCCGCCTCGTCCTCCAGGGGACTCACGTGACCCCAGGGCCCAGGTCGCCTCCCCCAGTCTCCCTCCCCCTCCCTCCCTCACTCTGTCTCTCTCTGTCTGTCTGTGTGGCCCTTCATCTCCCCTCCACATCTCCTACGTTTTCACTCCGATAGGTCTGACATTGGGCAGTGCCGTCTGTGGTGTTCCCTCCTCGTTCAGGATACTAGCAGTCTCCCTCCACCGATATCTCCTCCTCATCTCCCCTCGTCTCCCTCATCTCCCCTCGTCTCCCTCATCTCCCCGTGTCTCCCTCATCTCCCCGTGTCTCCCTCATCTCCCCTTGTCTCCCTCATCTCCCCTTGTCTCCCCGTGTCTCCCTGTCTCTCCCTCATCTCCCAGAATCTCCCAGAATCTCCCCGCGTCTCCCTCAACTCCCAGTCTCCTTCATCTCCCCGTGCCTCCTTCATCTCTCCGTGTCTCCCTCATCTCCTTCATCTCCCCGTGTCTCCCCGTGTCTCCCTCATCTCCCCCAGAATCTCCCAGAATCTCCCGTGTCTCCCTCACCTCCCCGTGTCTCTCTCATCTCCCCCAGAATCTCCCTCACCTCCCCGTGTCTCTCTCATCTCCCCCAGAATCTCCCTCATCTCCCCGTGTCTCCCTCACCTCCCCGTGTCTCTCTCATCTCCCCCAGAATCTCCCTCACCTCCCCGTGTCTCTCTCATCTCCCCCAGAATCTCCCTCACCTCCCCGTGTCTCTCTCATCTCCCCCAGAATCTCCCTCATCTCCCCGTGTCTCCCTCACCTCCCCGTGTCTCACTCATCTCCCCCAGAATCTCCCTCATCTCCCCGTGTCTCTGTCATCTCCCCCAGAATCTCCCTCATCTCCCCGTGTCTCCCTCACCTCCCCGTGTCTCTCTCATCTCCCCCAGAATCTCCCTCACCTCCCCGTGTCTCATCTACCCCAGAATCTCCCTCATCTCCCCGTGTCTCCCTCACCTCCCCGTGTCTCCCTCATCTCCCCCAGAATCTCCCTCATCTCCCCGTAGGTGACTGCACGACGCAGTCGAGGAGGAGGAGGAGGCTTTCGCGACCACTGTTATCTTCAACTCGCCTCTTGCCCGTCCAAGGACCCGGGTGCGTTGCAGTAAATGTGAAACTTGCGAGCGGAAATCAGACCGCGACGTGATATATTCATCGCATCAATTCGTGCGCAGTTTGTAAGGCCGCGGTGACACAGAGCTATTTCATTTGAAGGTTATAATCCCTTGTTCATCGTGACGTCCTTTTTACTCTGATGTCTCAGTAGCGTGACGGAGACCACGTGACGTGAGGGTTCTGCCTTTGTAGTGAGGGTTGTGAGTTGACGCTGAGGAGGGGGGAGGGGGCGACTCGCCCCCCCCCATGGGGAGTGACGTCACCCGCTAATTAATATTAATGAGGGGGGGTGTCCATGTGGAGTGACGTCACCTGTTCATGATTATTAATGAGGGAGGCTGTTCGATGCGGAGTGACGTCACCTGCTCATGATTATTCATGAGGGGGCGGGTTCTCCATGCGGGGTGACGTCACCCGCTCATGATTATTAATGAGGGGGGCTGGTCGACGTGGAGTGACGTCACGCGCGGGACACACAGACATTATTGGCTCATCATAGTAGTAAATAGAGGTTTTCCGGTTAGTTCACGCGAATTAAAATGCGTCGTTAAACCCGGGTTTCTGGGTTAGATAAAGCGTAAAAATAAAAGATACACTTTTGTATGGATACGATCTAACCTCTGTTATGGAAGACAAAGTAATATCCGCTGCTTGCAAGGCCAGGTGCTGAGTCACATCGGGCCACGCAGGGACGCAACGGTGGCTAGGGGATGTGAACTACCTCGCCTGGTGTACAGGTGGTCGTGAGTTCGATTCAGGTCCTGTTGTATATTTGGAGTTTGTGCCTCTCTCTCTCTCTCCGTGGAGAGATGTTAACTACCTCGCCTGGTGTACAGGTTCGATCCAGACCCCTGTTGTATGTTTGGAGTTTGTGTGTCTCTCTCTCTCCGTGGTGAGATGTTAACTACCTCGCCTGGTGTACAAGTGACCGTGGGTTCCATCCCAACCCTGTTGTATATTTTGAGTTTGTGTGTGTCTCTCGTCCGTGGTGAGGAGATGTTAACTACCTCGCCTGGTGTACAGGTGGCCGTGGGTTCTATCCCGACCCTGTTGTATATTTGGAGTTTGTGTGTGTCTCTCTCTCCGTGGCGAGGAGATGTTAACTACCTCGCCTGGTGTACAGGTGGCCGTGGGTTCGATCCAGACCCCTGTTGTATGTTTGGAGTTTGTGTGTGTCTCTCTCTCCGTGGCGAGATGTTAACTACCTCGCCTGGTGTACAGGTGGCCATGGGTTCCATCTCGACCCTGACCCCTGTTGTATGTTTGGAGTTTGTGTGTCTTTCTCTCTCACCGTGGTCGCGTGGACTTTTTTCCCTGTCCTCCGTTCCCCCCCCCCCCTCTACATTTAGAATCAACGTCACGAGTTTCGAGAGTATTTGGCAGCTAGAAATTTTCCACGCGATGATGATGAGCCCACTTCGTTTAGCCATCCATTTGTGATCGCCAGCTCGCTTCTGAAAAAGAGCTACATAGCTCAGTGGGGCCCCTACCTGGTACAATAAAATAAAAGTTGTTTAGTTTAGAATCGCCAGAGAAAAGGAGAGGATGGGGGGGGGGGTGGAGGGAGGCGGTCAGTGGTGAGGAGGGGGATGAGTGGTGGGGGGAATTGTGGGCGGGAGGGGTGGGATGAATGGTTGCATCCAGCGTTGCTAAACCCCCCCTACCCCCACTCCCTGACCCAAGCGCGATGTGCTTGAAGGTTTAGCTGCCACTGGGGGTGCCCCTCGGAATGTGGAATGTTCGAGATGAGACGCCGGTCACGTGGTGCGCCGCTCCCAGTCCCCGCATAGAGGGTGCTCTATGGAGGAAAAAAAAAACCACCCACCACTCATCATGAATGATTACTTTCTCACCCTCGTCTTACCTCTCCTCTTCATCTTACCCCCCCCCCCCATGTTACCCCCCCCCCCCCCACACACGCGCGCAGGCACTACTGGCAGTCCGCATGGCCTCCATCGTGAACCCGTCTCCGCTGACCTCCTTGAGTCCTCGGGTAGCTCCGAGCGCCGTGAGCCCTACCATGGTCTGGCTGCCCCTAGCTGCCCTCATCACCCTCGCCGCATCCTCCTCATCCTCATCATCGTCCTCCTCCTCCTCCTTGGCTTCCATCTCGCCCGAGTGGGAGATCTTGATGACCCGACACGGCGCGGATGCTCAGGGGAGCAGCAGCAGCAACAACAGCAGCACCAGCAGCAACAACAACAGCAGCAGAAACTACAGCAGCAGCAACAACAACATCAGCAACAACAACAGCAACAACAGCAGCAACAACTACAGCAGCAGCAAGCGCAACAGCAACAAGAGCGATAACAACTCCAGCAGCAGCAGCAACTACAGCAGCAACAACTACAACAACGTCAACTACAGCAGCAACAACTACAGCAGCAACAACTACAACAGTGGCAACTACAGCAGCAACAACTACAACAGTAGCAACTACAGCAGTGGCAACTACAGCAGCAATAACTACAGCAGTGGCAACTACAACAGCAACAACTACAGCAGTAGCAACTACAACAGTGTCAACTACAGCAGCAACAACTACAACAATGTCAACTACAGCAGCAACAACTACAACAGTGTCAACTACAACAGCAACAACTACAGCAGCAACAACTACAACAGTGGCAACTACAGCGCCAGCAGCACGAGGAGGCTGCGCAGAGCCATCTCAGAAAGCGACAAGGCCGTCATCCTGGACCTCCACAACAAACTGCGGGGCCAGGTGTCCCCATCGGCCTCGAACATGGAGTACCTTGTGAGTGGCCAGCAGATGTTTACTGCCTCGCCAGGTCTACAGGAGGTCGTGGGTTCGATCCCGACCCTGACGCTTGCTGCTGTATATTTGGAGTTTGCGTGTCTCTCTCATCATCATCACGGTGGCTAGGAGATGTTTACTGCCTCGCCAGGTCTACAGGAGGTCGTGGGTTCGATCCCGACCCTGACGCTTGCTGCTGTATATTTGGAGTTTGCGTGTCTCTCTCATCATCATCACGGTGGCTAGGAGATGTTTACTGCCTCGCCAGGTCTACAGGAGGTCGTGGGTTCGATCCCGACCCTGACGCTTGCTGCTGTATATTTGGAGTTTGCGTGTCTCTCTCATCATCATCACGGTGGCTAGGAGATGTTTACTGCCTCGCCAGGTCTACAGGAGGTCGTGGGTTCGATCCCGACCCTGACGCTTGCTGCGGTATATTTGGAGTTTGCGTGTCTCTCTCATCATCATCACGGTGGCTAGGAGATGTTTACTGCCTCGCCAGGTCTACAGGAGGTCGTGGGTTCGATCCCGACCCTGACGCTTGCTGCTGTATATTTGGAGTTTGCGTGTCTCTCTCATCATCATCACGGTGGCTAGGAGATGTTTACTGCCTCGCCAGGTCTACAGGAGGTCGTGGGTTCGATCCCGACCCTGACGCTTGCTGCTGTATATTTGGAGTTTGCGTGTCTCTCTCATCATCATCACGGTGGCTAGGAGATGTTTACTGCTTCGCCAGGTCTACAGGAGGTCGTGGGTTCGATCCCGACCCTGACGCTTGCTGCTGTATATTTGGAGTTTGCGTGTCTCTCTCATCATCATCACGGTGGCTAGGAGATGTTTACTGCCTCGCCAGGTCTACAGGAGGTCGTGGGTTCGATCCCGACCCTGACAATTGCTGTGTATTTGGAGTTTGCGGTGTTTCTCTCTCATTGTGGTGAGATGTTAACTACCTCGCCTGGTATACAGGAGGTCGTGGGTTCGATCCCGACCCTGACAATTGCTGTGTATTTGGAGTTTGCGGTGTTTCTCTCTCATTGTGGTGAGATGTTAACTACCTCGCCTGGTATACAGGAGGTCGTGGGTTCGATCCCGACCCTGACGCTTGCTGCTGTATATTTGGAGTTTGCGTGTCTCTCGCTCTTTCATCATCATCACGGTGGCTAGGAGATGTTAACTACCTCGCCTGGTGTACAGGAGGTCGTGGGTTCGATCCCGACCCTGACAATTGCTGTGTATTTGGAGTTTGCGGTGTTTCTTTCTCATTGTGGTGAGATGTTAACTACCTCGCCTGGTATACAGGAGGTCGTGGGTTCGATCCCGACCCTGACGCTTGCTGCTGTATATTTGGAGTTTGCGTGTCTCTCGCTCTCTCATCATCATCACGGTGGCTAGGAGATGTTAACTACCTCGCCTGGTGTACAGGAGGTCGTGGGTTCGATCCCGACCCTGACAATTGCTGTGTATTTGGAGTTTGCGTGTCTCTCTCTCTCCGTGGTGAGATGTTAACTACCTCGCCTGGTATACAGGAGGTCGTGGGTTCGATCCCGACCCTGACGCTTGCTGCTGTATATTTGGAGTTTGCGTGTCTCTCGCTCTCTCATCATCATCACGGTGGCTAGGAGATGTTAACTACCTCGCCTGGTGTACAGGAGGTCGTGGGTTCGATCCCGACCCTGATGCCTCCTATATATTTGGAGTTTGCGTGTCTCTCTCTCTCCGTGGTGAGATGTTAACTACCTCGCCTGGTGTACAGGAGGTCGTGGGTTCGATCCCGACCCTGACGCCTGCTGCTGTGTATTTGGAGTTTGCGTGTCTCTCTTTCTCATCATCATCACGGCGGCTAGGAGATGTTAACTGCCTCGCCTGGTATACAGGAGGTCGTGGGTTTGATCCCGACCCTGACGCCTGCTGCTGTGTATTTGGAGTTTGCGTGTCTCTCTCATCATCATCGCGGTGGCTAGGAGATGTTAACGATCTCGCCTGGTATGCAGGAGGTCGTGGGTTCGATCCAGACCCTGACGCCTGCTGTAGATTTGGAGTTTGCGTGTCTCTATCTCTCATCATCATCGCGGTGGCTAGGAGATGTTAACTACCTCGCCTGGTATACAGGAGGTCGTGGGTTCGATCCAGACCCTGACGCTTGTTGTAGATTTGGAGTTTACGTGTCTCTCTCTCTCATCATCATCACGGTGGCTAGGAGATGTTAGCTGCCTCGCCTGGTATACAGGAGGTCGTGGGTTTGATCCCGACCCTGACGCCTGTTGCTGTGTATTTGGAGTTTGCGTGTCTCTCTCATCATCATCGCGGTGGCTAGGAGATGTTAACTATCTCGCCTGGTATGCAGGAGGTCGTGGGTTCGATCCAAACCCTGACGCCTGCTGTAGATTTGGAGTTTACGTGTCTCTGTCTCTCATCATCATCGCGGTGGCTAGGAGATGTTAACTACTTCGCCTGGTATACAGGAGGTCGTGGGTTCGATCCCGACCCTGACGCCTGCTGTTGTATGTTTGGAGTTTGCGTGTCTCTCTCTCTCATCATCATCGCGGTGGCTAGGAGATGTTAACTACCTCGCCTGGTATACAGGAGGTCGTGGGTTTGATCCCGACCCTGACGCCTGCTGCTGTATATTTGGAGTTTGCGTGTCTCTCTCATCATCATCGCGGTGGCTAGGAGATGTTAACTACCTCGTCTGGTATACAGGAGGTCGTGGGTTCGATCCCGACCCTGACGCCTGCTGTGTAGTTGGAGTTTGCGTGTCTCTCTCTCTCATCATCATCATCACGGTGGCTAGGAGATGTTAACTACCTCGCCTGGTGTACAGGACGTCGTGGGTTCGATCCTGACCCTGACGCCTGCTGCTGTATATTTGGAGTTTGCGTGTCTCTCTCATCATCATCGCGGTGGCTAGGAGATGTTAACTACCTCGCCTGGTATGCAGGAGGTCGTGGGTTCGATCCAGACTCTGACGCCTGCTGCTGCATATTTGGAGTTTGCGTGTCTCTCTCTCTCCCTCATCATCATCGCGGTGGCTAGGAGATGTTAACTACCTCGCCTGGTGTGCAGGAGGTCGTGGGTTCGATCCAGACCCTGACGCCTGCTGTATACTTGGAGTTTGCGTGTCTCTCTCTCTCCGTGGTGAGATGTTTACTACCTCGCCTGGTGTGCAGGAGGTCGTGGGTTCGATCCAGACCCTGACGCCTGCAGTGTATTTGGAGTTTGCGTGTCTCTCTCTCTCCGTGGTGAGATGTTAACTACCTCGCCTGGTGTGCAGGAGGTCGTGGGTTCGATCCCGACCCTGACGCCTGCTGCTGTATATTTGGGGTTTGCGGTGTTTCTCTCTCTCACCGTGGTCGCGTGGATTTTTCAACGGGTCCTCCGATTTCCCGCCCCACCTCCGCCTTTAGAATCGACACCACAGGCGTTTAGAGTTACTGTATTTGGCTGCTATATATTTCTAGATTTGAAGCTTTCGTGACTGCAAGGATTCATAATCTTAGGTTTTTTCGATAAAGTCACGTAGGTAAAAAAAATAAAATTAATAAAAGTAATAATAGAAATAAAAAAAATCACGACGTTTCGGAGGCAACACAAGTCTCCGTCATCAGGTGGAACCGTCACAGCTAGATTTTTTTACCTACGTGACTTTACCGAAAAAACCTAAGAATATGCTACACATTTCCACGCGATGATAAATGAGCCACTTGGTTGAGCTGTCGTTTGAGATGATATCGCCTGGTCAAATAAAATAGAATGAGGGGGGGGGGGGGTGGAGGTTTGACCTTGACCTGACCTTCATTGATTGACCCACCCCCCTTTCCCCTCCTACAACAGCCTCCTTGATGGGTGTGCGTAGTGGGAAGCGGTGGTGTAGTGGTTAGCGCGCTGCGCTACGAACCCGGCGACCCGGGTTCGATTCCCGCTCACGGCCAACACCGGTGACGATTATCTGAAACGGTCTTGGGCCTTCCCTAGGTTGACTCAGCCTCAAATGAGTACCTGGTGCGGTGAAACATCGATACTAGGGAGATAAAGGCGGCCGGGCGTGGTGTTGGCCACCCACCCCCTCGTGTGCCGTGTCGGGCTTCATAGGTGCTCGCTAATAGCACTTGCCCCAACATTCTGTTAAGGCTATACGGGGGATCTTTATCTTTGTTGTTGGTGGTGGTGGGGGAGGAGGAGTTGTACATTCTAAAGTAAAATTTTCTTGGGTATAATCAGCCTGGATTGTGTGAGGAGCTCACAGAGCCTTGAAAGATCTGGACAAAGTCCCATCAATGAACTCCTCCGGCAGCCAAGGCTGCGTTGGCTGGGTCATGGAGCCCGCATGCCCAGCCACCGCATGCCTAAACAGCTTTTGTTCGGCCGGATAGAGGGGGCTCAACAGGCTAGATAAGAGATGGAGTGATGTGGTACAGGAGGATGTGGAGCTGAGTGGACTTGTCAATGACTGGTACTAGCGGTGTCAAGATCGGCCTCTGTGGAGGAGGCTCGTGAATGACGCTGCTGGGCAGTTGGAGGAAGTCGCCCTCCAGCAACAGCGGAGGGCAGAGGAGCAACGCTCACAACAACGAGCGGAGCGCCGGGTGTCTAAAACGCAGCAATTTGGCACAGGAAGGAGCACAGGTGGTGCAATGGCCAGTCATCTCAGTCATCTCAGTCACTCGACCTGTGGCACCTGGGTCTGTCCTGTGACGTGGTGTGTGTGGTGTGTGAGGTGTGTGTGTGTGATGTGATGCGTGTGTGTGTGATGTGATGCGCGTGTGTGATGTGATGTGTGTGGTGTGATGTGTGTGATGTGATGTGTGTGGTGTGATGTGTGTGATGCGTGTGTTTCTGATGTGATGCGCGTGTGTGTGTGTGGTGTGTGTGGGTATGATGTGATGCATGTGTGTGTGGTGTGATGCGTGTGATGCGCGCGTGTGTGTGATGTGATGCGTGTGTGATGTGATGCCTGTGTGTGTGATGCACGTGTGATGTGTGTGTGGTGTGATGCGTGTGTGTGTGATGTGACGCGTGTGTGATGTGATGCCTGTGTGTGTGATGCACTTGTGTGTTTGATGTGATGCGTGTAATGCGTGTGACGCGTGTGTGTGTGTGTGATGTGATGCGTGTGTGATGTGATGCGTGTGATGCACGTGTGATGCGTGTGTTTGTGATGTGTGTGTGTGATGTGTGTGCGTGATGTGTGTGTGTGATGTGACGCGTGTGTGTGTGATGCACGTGTGATGTGTGTGTGGTGTAGGTGTGGGACTCGGAGCTGGAACGTTCTGCCGAGCACTGGGCCGAGACGTGTCTGTGGGAGCACGGCCCCGCCGGGGAGCTCAGCCGCATCGGCCAGAACCTGGGGGCGCACTGGGGCAGGTGAGTGGGGTGAGGGGCAGGTGAGCGGGGTGAGGGGCAGGTGAGTGGGGTGGTGAGTGGGGTGAGGGTACAGGGGCAGGTGAGTGGGGTGGTGAGTGGGGTGGTGAGGGGGGTGAGGGTACAGGGGCAGGTGAGTGGGGTGGTGAGTGGGGTGGTGAGTGGGGTGAGGGTACAGGGGCAGGTGACGGGGGTGGTGAGTGGGGTGAGGGTACAGGGGCAGGTGAGTGGGGTGCGGGCACTGAGGTGAGTGGGGTGAGGGCACTGGGCAGGTGAGCGGGGTGGTGAGTGGGGTGAGGGTCCTGGGGCAGGTGAGGGGGGTGAGGGTACAGGGGCAGGTGAGGGGGGTGGGGGCACTGAGGTGAGGGGGGGTGGGGGCACTGGGGCAGGTGAGGGGGGTGGTGAGTGGGGTGAGGGCACTGAGGTGAGCGCATCCCCCACGCGGTTAGCGAATTCTACCGCTCCCTCGTGGCGCCACGTGGACATTGCGGCTGAGATGTCACCTGAGGGTTGTGCGTTGCGTTGAGCTTCTTTCGTACCGTGCGTAGCCAACTGTGGTGAATCGGAGGTGCGGCGGGGATGGGCGGGGGGGGAAGACAACGAACTAAAGACAAAAAGTGCATAGCCCCCCGGTGGTTTCCTAACAAGTTACCGGCATGACTGGGACATTTCATTGCCCTCTGTCCGGATTGGCGACTCGGAGGAGACGTTTCCGCACACGTTGGACACACTACATCCAGTCTACTGCTCTCGCGTTGCCTGTTGGCAGCTGCAGATATCGATCCACGTGGAGCGGTGGCCAACACCGGTTCCATTTAACTGGTGCGGCTGATGGGAGGTCTAAAGACATATTTTTTCTATATATTTTTCTTAATGCAGAGGGACAGGTAAGTGATGGAGGAGTATCTTACCTATAAATGTGACCTCTGGTTGGAGCCAAATTTAAGGGTGGGAGGGGGCTCCTATCAAGGCTAACCCCCCCCTGCTCCCCCCCCCCATGCCCCCCTGCACCCCCCGTGCCCCCCTCCTCTTCCCCACGCCCCCCCCCATAGGTTTCGCCCCCCCACGTTCCATGTGCAGGCGTGGTACGACGAGGTGCGGGACTACAGCTTCCCGTACCCGCACGAGTGCAATCCCTGGTGCCCCTTCCGCTGCACAGGGCCCGTGTGCACCCACTACACGCAGGTGAGCCACTCACCACGTGCACTCACCACGTGACACTCACCACGTGCACTCACCACGTGACACTCACCACGTGCACTCACCACGTGAAACTAACCACGTGCACTCACCACGCGCACTCACTACACGCAGGTGAGACACACACCACGTGCACTCACTACATGCACTCACCACGTGCACTCACCTGTCTCTAACGCCGTCCCTGTCTCGAACCCTAACCACTCAACCTCTAGCTCTGCTCGTGCCTCACCTCCGTGCCTGCCCCTGACCTTGCTCTCATGCCTGCCCCTCATCCCTGCCCCTGCCCCACAGCTCGTGTGGGCCACCTCCAGTCGGATCGGCTGCGCCATCAACCTGTGCTACAACATGAACGTGTGGGGCCAGGTGTGGGCCCGTGCCGTCTACCTCGTCTGCAACTACGCCCCCAAGTGAGTAGAGGCGTCCCGGTTCGAGCCCCCCAGTGTCTCGCTCTCTCGCTCCGCGGGTTCACCATGGCCGTGTCGGAGACACCGAGCCAGCACTAGTTAAGCCAGTGTGGGGGCCTGTAGCATATGTTATAAAGGGGTCCTAAATAACGAAAATACACGTACATATTGAAACATACATTTTTAACTTGCATAGTAATTTTATTTTTTTATTTACTATACAGCCGGATAATACAAGAAATCGCTAACCTTAAACACCCAGTCGTTCATAAAAGTTGAAGGCGGTATAGTACTATAGTAATAGAGCAAGTGCAGAAGCACTGCACCGGAATTGATAGCTTGAAAGCATTTAGCGTGGGGCCCTTGAAAGCGCGGGGTCTGTAGCATTTGTAGCTACTTTTGCTACTAGGATAATCTGGCACTGGCCAGCACCGATTATATCCTGGGGTTTTAAGCCCTGTGGGTTCATTGACGGGGAAGACGGTTGACAACCATTGGAGAAGGAGGACGGGGATTGGCTGAGGGAAATGGGGGGGGGGGGGGGGGGGGCGAACCTTCGAGAAAGGGGACTTCGAGGGATTTAAAAGGGGATAGAACAAGGGGAAGAGACGGTTGGAAAGAAGACAAAGTTTGGGCCTAAAGAATAGTGTTCGTGTCTGCAACAAAGGCTCCTAGTAAAGCAAGAACGTGTGTCGGTTGTCTTTACAAAAGGAAGAGCCGGCACTGCTGAGATCCTGGGTTCAAGCTCCGAGTGTGGCTGTATATTTGTGCAGTGGTAATGATGGAGACAGAGTCTTCTTCTCGAGGCAACACGTTTATTTAACAGTAACAACTATAACACGAGGTCCCGAGCACAAAGGGGTATCGACCCCTCCACCCGATACCCTGGGGAGGTATAGCCTCCGGGCGAGCGTGTCCTACTCACTGGGACCACTTCCTCTATATATCAGCCCTCCGGCTAGGGGACTAGCTAACCTGACCCAGCCAAGGTCCTCTGGCCCACTCAGTTCCAGCCCTGAGAAGGACGTCTGGTCGGGGGTTCCCAGGGTCCGACCACTGGCTCACTCAGTCCCGGCCCTGAGAAGGACGTCTGGTCGGGGGTTCCCAGGGTCTGACCACTGGCCCTCTCAGTCCCGGCCCTGAGAAGGACGGCGGGTCCGGGTGTTCCCAGGGTCTTTTGCTAGGCTGGCTCTTTGGGTCTTCAGCTTGACGACTACTGGCAAACCCGTTCAGGGGGGTCCGCCTTATATACAGCTCCCAGTGTCACTCTGCCCCTGGCCACGCCTACTCTCTAGAACCTTCTGGAGGGACCTGGACTCTTGCGTATATACTATGAGACCTCCTTTACCAGTGGCAAAATATAGTAGTAGGTTTTTATCCTTTAAACTGGTACAAAACTGACATCTTTATACAAGGCATCATGTTTGCAATAACCGCAACACAAGCAGTCAAAATGCAATCAAAAAGAAAAAACTCTGATAATGGTAATGATATGCACTGTCCTTGAAGTTGATTGGTCCACACCCGAGACAGCTTTTCTTAGAGCCTAGTCTCCATTGGTGTTGGACCAGATGACGCCAAAAGGCGTACAACTCAAAAACAGTGCACTATCAGAGTATTGAGAGCTCGGGGTAAGCATTTACACTATGCACATCATTACCATTATCAGAGTTGTTTCTTTTTGTTTGCATTTTGACTGCTTGTGTTGCGGTTATTGCAAACATGATGCCTTGTATAAAGGTGTCAGTTTTATACCAGTTTAAAGGGTAAAACCTACTACTATATTGCGTATACCTCCGATTCCCAACGGCCCTCTGGGTTCCCTGGCCTAACGGCGTTACTTGATACAGGCCGTACTCGCCGTTGCCCCCTGTTGACCAATGGCTGATGCTACACCAGGTGAGTAGTGGTAACCGCGTGTAACGCTAACAATACCCCACTACATTTGTATGGGTTCACAGTGGCAGTGTTCAGCCATGTGTGGTTAAACCCGAGTTCTCAAGGCCGGTGAGTTGATGGTCTCAGCCTGGACACCATTGTAAGCGGATGTCGATGGGTCTCTATGTAAGTCAGTAGGTTTGCTGTGCGAGTCGATGGGTCTCTATGCAAGTCTCTGTGTAAGTCACGGGTGATCAGGCTGAGACCATCAACTCACTACAATTGAGATCCCCGATTGGTCAGGGATTGGAACTCTGGATCTCAGCAACATGATCCCTGATCTCTAAGCCATCCAGCCCTATCAATAACTTATTTTACTTATTTACAACTTATTTTACTTATTTACCAAGTAAGGTTCACTGAGTTATATTGCTCTTTTTCAGAAGCGAATTGGCCACAAATGATAGCCCAATTTATTGGCTTATCGCGTGGAAATGCGTAGCAGCCAAATACTGTAAATGAATGTTTCTTAACGTGGAAGGAATAACTGGAATACCCGTAAAAAAAATCCACGCGTCCACGGGGAGAGAGAGAGACATACAAACTCCAAGTAGACAGCAGGCGTCAGGGTCGGGATCGAACCCACGACCTCCTGTATACCAGGCAAGGTAGTTAACATCTCTCCACTGTGGCGCCTCCAACCCCCACTCATTGTGTGTTCCAGGGGCAACTGGTGGGGGTCGGCCCCCTACAAGGTGGGGCGGCCGTGCTCGGAGTGCCCCCCCAGCTACGGAGGGGGCTGCCGGGACAACATGTGCTTCTGGGGTGCGGCAGCAGCAGCACCAACCCTGACACTACCACTAGGCCTCACACTAGCACTATCCCTGATACTAACATTATCCCTGACACTAACACTAGGCCTGACACTAACACTAGGACTCACACTAACACTGGCCCTGACACTAACACTAGACCTCACACTAACACTAGCCCTCAAATTAACACTAGGCCTCACACTAACACTAGGCCTCACACTAACACTAGGTCTGACACTAACAATAGGCCTCACACTAACACTAGGCCTGTCACTAACACTGGGTCTGACACTAACACTAGCTCTGACACTAACACTAGGCCTCACACTAACACTAGGCCTCACACTAACACTAGGCCTCACACTAACACTAGCCCTGACACTAACACTAGGCTTCACACTAATACTGGGCCTGACACTAACACTAGCCCTTACACTAACACTAGGCCTCACACTAACACTAGCTCTGACACTAACACTAGGCCTCACACTAACACTAGCTCTGACACTAACACTAGGCCTCACACTAACACAAGGCCTCACACTAACACTAGGCCTCACACTAACACTAGGTCTGACACTAACACTAGCCCTGACACTAACACTAGCCCTGACACTAACACTAGGCCTCCTACTAACACTAGGCCTGACACTAACACTAGGCCTGACACTAACACTAGGCCTGACACTAACACTAGGCCTGACACTAACACTAGGTCTCACACTAACACTAGCCCTGACACTAACACTAGCCCTGACACTAACACTAGGCCTCCTACTAACACTAGGCCTGACACTAACACTAGGCCTGACACTAACACTAGGCCTCACACTAACACTAGGTCTGACACTAACACTAGGTCTGACACTAACACTAGGCCTGACACTAACACTAGGCTTGACACTAACACTAGGCCTCACACTAACACTAGGCCTCACACTAACACTAGGTCTGACACTAGCACTAGGCCTCACACTAACACTAGGCCTCACACTAACACAAGGCCTCACACTAACACTAGCCCTGACACTAACACTAGGCCTGACACTAACACTAGGCCTCACACTAACACTAGCCCTCACACTAACACTAGCCCTGACACTAACACTAGGCCTGACACTAACACTAGGCCTCACACTAACACTAGCCCTGACACTAACACTAGGCCTGACACTAACACTAGGCCTCACACTAACACTAGCCCTCACACTAACACTAGCCCTGACACTAACACTAGGCCTCACACTAACACTAGGCCTCACACTAACACTAGCCCTGACACTAACACTAGGCCTGACACTAACACTAGGCCTCACACTAACACTAGATCTCACACTAACACTAGGCCTCACACTAACACTAGGCCTCACACTAACACTAGGCCTCACACTAACACTAGGCCTCACACTAACACTAGACCTCACACTAACACTAGGCCTTACACTAACACTAGGCCTGACACTAACACTAGGCCTCACACTAACACTAGGCCTCACACTAACACTAGCCCTGACACTAACACTAGGCCTGACACTAGCACTAGGCCTCACACTAACACTAGGCCTCACACTAACACTAGGCCTCACACTAACACTAGGCCTCACACTAACACTAGCTCTGACACTAACACTAGGCCTCACACTAACACAAGGCCTCACACTAACACAAGGCCTCACACTAACACTAGCCCTGACACTAACACTAGGCCTCACACTAACACTAGCCCTGACACTAACACTAGGCCTCACACTAACGATAGGCCTCACACTAACACTAGCGCTGACACTAACACTAGGCCTGACAATAACACTAGGCCTCACACTAACACTAGCCCTCACACTAACACTAGGCCTCACACTAACACTAGGCCTCACACTAACACTAGGCCTCACACCAACACTAGGCCTCACACTAACACTAGGCCTCACACTAACACTAGGCCTCACACTAACACTAGGCCTCACACTAACACTAGGCCTCACACTAACACTAGCCCTGACACTAACGATAGGCCTCACACTAACACTAGCGCTGACACTAACACTAGGCCTGACAATAACACTAGGCCTCACACTAACACTAGCCCTCACACTAACACTAGGCCTCACACTAACACTAGGCCTCACACTAACACTAGGCCTCACACTAACCATAGGCCTCACACTAACACTTGCCTTGACACTAACACTAGGCCTCACACTAACACTAGGCCTCACACCAACACTAGGCCTCACACTAACACTAGGCCTCACACCAACACTAGGCCTCACACTAACACTAGGCCTCACACTAACACTAGGCCTCACACTAACACTAGGCCTCACACTAACACTAGGCCTCACACTAACACTAGGCCTCACACTAACACTAAGCCTCACACTAACACTAGGCCCGACACTTTCCATAGCCCCTGAGACTGCCCCCAGTGTCGTCCTCCAGTGTCCCCCCCCCCTCTCTCTCTGCAGGAGGGAGCGGCGAGCGGCCTCTGCCCGGGCCCGACACGGGCACCAAGGTGGAGGAGGCGGACGAGGAGACCGAGGAAGAGGAGGGCCCGAACGAGGTGGAGCCGACCCGGCCCGCTCGCACCACGACCACCACGTCACCCCCCGTGGCCCCACCGGACGCGAGAGAATTTGACATTCGCGAAGTAATAAGCGTAGAGGAAATGAGTAGGCGCCCTCTTCCCTCGCCTCTCCGCGGCACGCGCGCACACGCACGCACCCACATCGTCAGAATATTTATTTGACGCTGGAGGAATCCGAAGAGCTGTGAAGCTTCTTCTTGGTTCTTTCGGTAAAGTCACGTAGAATGGAAATAATAAAATGATAAAAATCAAACATAATAAAATAATTCTCACGACGTTTCGGCCACAACGCAAGCAGCCGTCCTCAGGTGGAGAACAGGTCTGTCGAGAAGACAGAGTCTGAATGACACACCCCAGGCTTGGAGCGACTATTTAAGCAGGGATGGAGGGGGGAAGAGCTCCTTGACAAAATAATTTGCATATCAAGAGGAATTTAGCATATTTATGGGAAATGCAGATATGAGATGTCTCCAATAGGGGCAGGTCAGACGTTTCCGAACACAAAGACAAATGTCTCCCCCCCCCACCATACCCGTGTAGCCTCAACGGACTGTTGGGGCAAGTGCTGTTAGCGAGTACCTGTGAAGGTCGGGCACTGCGCACGACGGGGTTGGTGGCCAGCACCACGCCCAACTGCCTTTGTCTCCCTAGTGGTGATGTTTACACACCACACCATAATGAACATTATGGCCGAACCCTGGGGTCCCATAAGCCCCCGGCTCTCGCATAAACTGCGTTGCGACGTCATTTTATGTCTGTTGAAGGCGAATTCCTCTCGATGAGCTCTACACGATGCGCTAATCAAAAGTTTAAAAGTTTTGTTTCTTCTGCGCATTCGAGCTCGCTGGACGACACGACAACAGAATGATCCGCGCCAGGTGTGTCTTGGCGTTTATGTGCGCAGTCGCCAAAAAGAAATAAATTAATTACGATATTGACTTCCATTTATTCGGGACCCCGAGGGTCCCGCCATAAGGTTCATATACTCATTTGAGGCTGAGTTGATGTAAGGGAGGCTCGTGACCATTTCAGACATTCGTCACTGGTGTTGGCCGTGAGCGCGAATCGAACTCGGGTCACCGGGTTCGAGCACAGCGCGCTAACCACTACACGACCACTGCCCACACACAAACGCACGCACATCGTACCATCCATACAACCGTGGGGCAACTGCAGTCATGACCATGTGTTGGTCGTGGTGGGATGGTGGTGCTGATGATAGCATCGTGGTGGTAATGTTGTGGCGATGATACCAAGGTGGTGGTGATGGCATGGTGGTGTTGTGGTGACGATGACAGAACGGTAGCGGTGATGATGTCGCCGGAACGGTGGTGGTGCGGACGTATTGATGGCGTGGCGATGATGTGGTGATGTTGATGTCCATCACCCTGTGTCGCCCTCTTGCCGTGCAGCTCAGAAGGTCACGTGCGACACCAAGCTGCGCGATCGCTGTAAGGGCACGCCGTGCAACAGGTGAGCGCATTGTCACATCACCCCACTCGCCTGCGTCACGTGACCCCACACACATTTGTTACGTCACCCCCCCCCCCTACATCTGCGTCACGTGACCCCCCCCCTCACCTGTGTGCAGGTACGAGTGCCCTGCGGGCTGTTTCTACAGCAGTGGCAAGGTGATCGGCACCCTTTACTATGACATGGTACGAGGCATAATGGCACGTGCTAGTCACGTGTCACACGTTACAATGCATTATACAACGCGGTACAATGACGTGGTACAATATGTTACAATGTGGTATGATGGACGTGGTACAATGTCCAGGCGGTCCCTGAGATACGAACGTCCGACTTATGAACATCCGTACTTTCGAACGAGCCGCCATAAGATAGTGGCATTGTCTTTGTGCTGGTCGCCTTTTGGCGTCCTCTGGTCTAACACTGTTTGAGACTAGGCTCTAAAGAAAGCTGTCTCTGGTGTGGACCAATCAGTTTCAAAGACAATGCATCACATACTACCAGAGCATGTCTTTTTTGTATGTTCACCACAGGTACATGTGGTTAATGCAGACATGATTTCTTGCAAAAGGTTTCAGTTTGTTGTTTTAACATCTTAACACAACTGTTTTATTGCCAGAAAGGGTGAAACATATTCTCATATTTTGATACTGGCAAGGGAGGTCCCATGACGTTATTATATTATCGGTGGACCGATGCTCCTCGAGATGCCATCCCTTGCGATGCACACTCCTTAAAACGAAATGGTACAGTGCATTACAATGTGGTAGAACGACATCATACAATGTATTGTACAATGACGTGGTACAGTGCACTACAACACGGCATGCTGCGTAGCGGTCGTATGACTTTCGTGACCAGTGGCATGCTGATGACGTGACTGACGTGACGGCCGCGTGTTGGGTCACGTGGTCCCGCAGCAATCGAGCGTATGCCGCGCCGCAATGCATTATGGGATTGTGGACAACGAGGGCGGCTGGGTGGACGTGACGCGCAACGGACGCATCCCGTTCTTTGTGAAGTCGACCCGCGAGGGCATCACCTCCATCAGGTGACTCACACGACTGGGTTGCGGGAATGAGTGGCGAGAGTGAGGCTCAGGTGTGAGTCACGGGGTTGAGTATTAGGTGTGCGTCGCAGGCGTGAGTGGCAGGAGGCTCAGGTGTGAGTGGCATTCGTGAGTGGCATGAGTGAGTGGTATTCGTGAGTGGCATTAGTGAGTGGCATGAGTGAGTAGTATGAGTAAGTGGTATTCGTGAGTGGCATTCGTGAGTGGCAGGAGTGAGGCTCAGGAGTGAGTGGCATGAGTGAGTGGTATGAGTGAGCGGCATTCGTGAGTGGCATGAGTGAGTGGCATGAGTGAGTGGTATGAGTGAGTGGCAGGAACGAGTGGCATGAGTGAGTGACAGGAGTGAGTGGCAGGAGTGAGTGGCAGGAGTGAGTGGTATTAGTAAGTGGTATGAGTGAGTGGCATTAGTAAGTGGCATTAGTGAGTGGCAGGAGTGAGAGGCAGGAGGCTCAGGTGTGAGTGGCATTCGTGAGTGGCATGAGTGAGTGGCATGAGTGAGTGGCAGGAGTGAGTGGCAGGGGTGAGTGGCAGGAGTGAGTGGCAGGAGTGAGTAGCAGGAGTGAGTGGCCGGAGGCTCAGGTGTGAGTGGCATTCGTGAGTGGCATGAGTGAGTGGTGTGAGTGAGTAGTATGAGTGAGTGGCAGGAGTGAGTGGTATGAGTGAGTGGTATGAGTGAGTGGCAGGGGTGAGTGGCATGAGTGAGTGGCAGGAGTGAGTGGCATTAGTGAGTGGCAGGAGTGAGTGGCAGGAGTGAGTGGTATGAGTGAGTGGTATGAGTGAGTGGTATGAGTGAGTGGTATGAGTTAGTGGTATGAGTGAGTGGCAGGGGTGAGTGGCATGAGTGAGTGGCAGGAGTGAGTGGCATTAGTGAGTGGCAGGAGTGAGTAGCAGGAGTGAATGGCATTAGTGAGTGGCAGGAGTGAGTGGCAGGGGTGAGTCTCAGGGGTGAGTCTCAGGGGTGAGTCTCAGGCGTGAGCTACAGGAGTGAGGCTCAGGAGTGAGTCTCAGGGGTTGAGGGTGACTTGCGCCTCTGTTTGTCCCACAGCAAGTACCGCCCCGCCAACTCCTTCACTGTGTTCCGCGTGACGGGTGAGTGAGCGCAGCTCCTCACCACCACTCACTACCGCTCACCACCCGCTGTCCCTCACCCCTCAGACGTTCACCACCCCTCATCCCTCACCCATCACCACCCCTTGACCCTCAGCATGCCTCTCCACCTTCACCATCTCTGACCACTCCTGACAGAGCACCATGTTGGCTAGGAGATGTTAACTACCTCGCCTGGTGTACAGGAGGTCGTGGGTGCGATCCCGACCCTGATGCCTGCTGCTGTATATTTGGAGTTTGCGTGTCTCTCTCTCTCTCATCATAATCACGGTAGCTAGGAGATGTTAACTACCTCGCCTGGTATACAGGAGGTCGTGGGTTCGATCCCGACCCCTGCTGCTGTATATTTGGAGTTTGCGTGTCTCTCTCTCTCCCCGTGGTCGCGCGGATTTGTCTCCGGGTCCTTCGTTTATTTTTTGCCTCCACATTTACAATCGACGTGACGCGTTTCGAGTGTTTGGCTGCTGCTGTACATGTCCACGTGATGATGATGAGCCGCTTCACTGGGCTCTTATCATCTGTGGCCAGGTCGCTTCTGAAAAATGGCAATATAGCTCAGTGGGCCTTACTTGGTAAAATAATACTGGTAGGAACCTCCTGGTTACACCAGCCCACAGGGGATTAGTCTGTCCGTCTGTCGTGCATCCAAAAATGGGAGGGGTGGGGCTGGGTGGAGAGGGGAGGGTGGGGAGGGGCTGGGTGGGGAGGGGAGGGTGGGGAGGGGAGGGTGGGGAGGGGCTGGGTGGGGAGGGATGGGCTGGGTGAGGGGTGGGAGGGGTGGGGCTGGGTGGGGAGGGGCTGGTCACCCCGTGGTGCCCTTAAATAACTCAACATTTAACCTACTCACGCCGGCTTGTGCCCGCCCTCACAGTCGGGCATATTTGCGGAATACACCACGCCGCCGTTGACCCTGGCCATTGACCGAGCAACCCAACGTTCTTACCAGCTCCCTCCGCAGGACAATGTGTTACACGTAGATTTGGTGATCGGTGCGTCACGCCTGACACTCGGCATGCTCTGTGTAACGCCGCTGGCTGGCCACGTGGATTGTCATGAAAAAATATGTAAAGTTTTTCATGAAATGTTTATCATATGATAATTTTAACTAATTAATTATTAGTTATTACAAAAATAATACATTTATTCCTCAAAAATGTACACCGCCGCTTTTGATAGGTGCGCCCCCGTTTTATTATTTTATCTTTTCGTTTTGCGCGGCCTTACAAAATAATGATAGTATATAATCTATTCGGTTAATTTGTGCGTGGCAATATTTGTAGCAATTTTTTTTGGACGTCGAATAGAAATTGAAATGAAAAAGCGGAATCCGCTTTTAATTTGAGCTATGTTCAGTTTCACTTTCATGACTTTTTCTCGCACTTGGAGTGAAAATTCCTTCCGATCAATAACAAAAAGTAACTTTTCTCAAGTTCACGTAAATTCAGAATCCAGTAAGTTATTGTAACCGAGTGCAATTCATTTCGGCAAAAGCGATAAAACATTTTTGGCGAAAATTAGTGAACAACGACCTGTCCTTCCGGTTTATAAATAGTAAATAAATCACATTAATGCAGAATCCAATAAGAACAAAATTCATGTCAAGGAAAACTTTTGGGAGATGATCATCAATTTACACCAAATTTTATATATATATGGAGATATGTTCGATGGAATAAATTCGATACAATCTTTACATTTTTCGGTCTTTTTCATTCAACTTAATATTTATGAGCCCGTCACGTGACTTGCAATTAAACTAGTAAATAAATATTCTTGGTTCTTTCGGTAAAGTCACGTAGAAGGGAAATAATAAAATAATAAAAATATTAAACAATACAATTCTCACGACGTTTCCACTGCAACACAAGCAATCGTCATCAGGTGTGAAATCCACAGCAAGAACATTTTCTCGTGACTTTACCGAAAGAACCAAGAATATGAATCCCTGCAGTCACGAAAGCTTTAAATCTAAATGTAGTAAATGAATAGTTTAACAGCTTAGTTTCGACTGCTCCACCACCACCACCCGTGCCTGATGATGATGATGCTACCCCGGAGGGAGGGAGGGAGGGATGATGAAGAAGATGATGATGATGCTTGGCAAGCCGCTTGCTCTTCCACTGATGAGCCTCCTGGAAATCCGGGCGACCGCCCTCAAAAGCACCCGCGCTAATCTCGCTCCGCTCACCCTCACCACTCACCCTCACCGCTCACCCTCACCGCTCACCCTCACCGCTCACCCTCACCGCTCACCCTCACCGCTCGACTCTCACCGCTCACCCTCACCGCTCACCCTCACCGCTCACCGCTCACCCTCACCGCTCAAGAACGGGGGGCCCGCCGCTCTCTCCCGCCCTCCCCCCCCCATCCCCTAATGGAGACGAGTGCCCCCCCCCCGCTGCCCCCCCCCGCTGCCCCCCCCCCCCACAGTGAAGGCCCTGGACTGTGTCACCACCGTGGGCCAACTGTGTCCGTACAGGAAACCAGCGACGCATTGCCCCAGGTGAGTGTGAGTCCAGGTGAGTGTGAGTCCAGGTGAGTGTGAGGTGAGTGTGAGTCCAGGTGAGTGTGAGGTGAGTGTGAGTCCAGGTGAGTGTGAGGTGAGTGTGAGTCCCGGTGAGCGTGAGGTGTGAGGTGAGTGTGAGGTGAGTCCAGGTGAGTGTGAGGTGAGTGTGAGTCCAGGTGAGTGTGAGGTGAGTGTGAGTCCAGGTGAGTGTGAGGTGAGTGTGAGTCCAGGTGAGTGTGAGGTGAGTGTGAGTCCAGGTGAGCGTGAGGTGTGAGGTGAGTGTGAGGTGAGTCCAGGTGAGTGTGAGCCCAGGTGAGTGTGAGTCCAGGTGAACGTGAGGTGTGAGGTGAGTGTGAGGTGAGTCCAGGTGAGTGTGAGTCCAGGTGAGTGTGAGGTGAGTGTGAGTCCAGGTGAGTGTGAGTCCAGGTGAGTGTGAGTCCAGGTGAACGTGAGGTGTGAGGTGAGTGTGAGGTGAGTCCAGGTGAGTGTGAGTCCAGGTGAGTGTGAGGTGAGTGTGAGTCCAGGTGAGCGTGAGGTGAGTGTGAGTCCAGGTGAGCGTGAGGTGAGTGTGAGTCCAGGTGAGTGTGAGGTGAGTGTGAGTCCAGGTGAGTGTGAGGTGAGTGTGAGTCCAGGTGAGCGTGAGGTGAGTGTGAGTCCAGGTGAGCGTGAGGTGAGTGTGAGTCCAGGTGAGTGTGAGGTGAGTGTGAGTCCAGGTGAGTGTGAGGTGAGTGTGAGTCCAGGTGAGCGTGAGGTGAGTGTGAGTCCAGGTGAACGTGAGGTGTGAGGTGAGTGTGAGGTGAGTCCAGGTAGTGTGAGTCCAGGTGAGCATGAGGTGAGTGTGAGTCCAGGTGAGCGTGAGGTGAGTGTGAGTCCAGGTGAGTGTGAGTCCAGGTGAGCGTGAGTGTGAGGTGAGTGTGAGTCCAGGTGAGTGTGAGGTGGGTGTGAGGTGGGTGTGAGTCCAGGTGAGTGTGAGTGTGAGGTCAGTGTGAGGTGAGTGTGAGGTGAGTCCAGGTGAGTGTGAGTCCAGGTGAGTGTGAGGTGAGTGAGTCCAGGTGAGTGTGAGTCCAGGTGAGTGTGAGGTGAGTGTGAGTCCAGGTGAGCATGAGGTGAGTGTGAGTCCAGGTGAGTGTGAGTCCAGGTGAGTGTGAGGTGAGTGTGAGGTGAGTGTGAGGTGAGCGTGAGTCCAGGTGAGTGAGTACTGGGTCTGGGTGAGTGTGAGTCCACCAGGTAAGTTTGGTTTAGGTGATTGTTGTTCAGGTGCGGATTTGGGAGTCGTCGGGGTTTTGGGATGAGTAGCGAGGTTTGGAGTGAGCATGGTGAGGAGTCCTGGCTCCCTCACCCCACCTCACCCCACCTCACCCCACCTCACCCCACCTCACCACACCTCACCCCACCCCACCTCACTCCACCTCACCCCTGTGTCTGTCCCCCCCCCCCATACCCCCCCCCGCCCCCCAGGGTTCACTGCCCCGCTCACTGCATGCAGCACAACCCTCATCAAGCGCGCGTCATTGGCTCAACGATCTACTCTGACGTGAGTGACGCAAAGACAAAGATCCCCCGTGTAGCCTCGCCAGGCTGTTGGGGCAAGTGCTGTTAGTGAGTAGCACCTATGAAGGCCGGCACTCCACACGGGGGGATGGGTCGCCAGCACCACGCCCGGCCGCTTTTGTCTCCCCAGTGGCCTAATTTACTACACACCGCACCAGGTACTCATTTTAGGCTGAGTCGACCTAGGGGTTAGCGTGCTGCGCTAAGAACCCAGCAACCCGAGTTCGATTGCTAACACCAATGACGGTTATTTGAATCGGTGAGTGTCGTAGCGAGCGTGTTGGCGAGTACGATAGTGAGTGTGTTGGTATTGTAGTGGGTTAAATTCAAGCGCACACTGGAACTTGGGAGGCAACACTATTTATTAGATAACATAACAATGAACGCTTAACACAACGACTTAAGGTGATAGCCACCTTCACTAACTTAGCTCACACGCGAGGATACTACTTCACTGGGCCAGGACAGCCCAACACGCTGCCTGGTCCACTAGCGGAGAGCGGAGAGCTTCATCCCAGAGTTGACCCAGAAGAACAGCCCAGAACAGGCCCCGCTCTCCGTCCACACACCGCTGATAACCACTCCGGCGTGGCCACGTCCCCCTTCCCGATCCTTCCGGAAGGCCCGAACCCCCAACCACGTGACCCCCCTGGGACCCCTGGCCCCCCCTTTATCCGGTCACGTGTCCTGTTGGTTCACGCAGAGTGTCACGGCCCGACACGACCCCCGTGACACCTACCTATAGCCCCCCAATCGGGCCAATACAGTAGTGTCGTTCTACTACACTACACATATGGTAGTGAGTGTGTTGGTGAGTATGGTAGTGAGTGTGTTGGTGAGTATGGTAGTGAGTGTGTTGGTGAGTATGGTAGTGAGTGTGTTGGTGAGTATGGTAGTCAGCGTGTTGGTGAGTATGGTAGTGAGTGTGATGATGAGTATGGTAGTGAGTGTGTTGGTGAGTATGGTAGTGAGTGTGATGGTGAGTATGGTAGTGAGTGTGATGGTGAGTATGGTAGTGAGTGTGATGGTGAGTATGGTAGTCAGCGTGTTGGTGAGTATGGTAGTGAGTGTGTTGGTGAGTATGGTAGTGAGTGTGTTGGTGAGTATGGTAGTGAGTGTGATGGTGAGTATGGTAGTGAGTGTGATGATGAGTATGGTAGTGAATGTGATGATGAGTATGGTAGTGAATGTGATGGTGAGTATGGTAGTCAGCGTGTTGGTGAGTATGGTAGTGAGTGTGATGATGAGTATGGTAGTCAGCGTGTTGGTGAGTATGGTAGTGAGTGTGATGATGAGTATGGTAGTGAGTGTGTTGGTGAGTATGGTAGTGAGTGTGTTGATGAGTATGGTATGAGTGTGATGATGAGTATGGTAGTGAATGTGATGGTGAGTATGGTAGTCAGCGTGTTGGTGAGTATGGTAGTGAGTGTGATGATGAGTATGGTAGTCAGCGTGTTGGTGAGTATGGTAGTGAGTGTGATGATGAGTATGGTAGTGAGTGTGATGAGTATGGTAGTGAGTGTGCTGGTGAGTATGGTAGTGAGGGTGATGATGAGTATGGTAGTGGTGTGATGATGAATATGGTAGTGAGTGTGATGATGAGTATGGTAGTCAGCGTGTTGGGTGAGTATGGTAGTGAGTGTGATGATGAGTATGGTAGTCAGCGTGTTGGTGAGTATGGTAGTGAGTGTGATGATGAGTAGGTAGTGAGTGTGTTGATGAGTATGGTGTGAGTGTTGTGGTGAGTATGGTAGTGAGGTGATGGTGAGTATGGTAGTGAGTGTGATGGGGAGTATGGTAGTGATGTGTGTTGATGAGTATGTTAGTGAGCGTGCTGGTTAGTATGGTAGTAGTGTGCTGTGAGTAGTGGTAGTGAGGTGATGATGAGTATGGTAGTGAGTGTGATGATGAGTATGGTAGTGAGTGTGATGATGAGTATGCTAGTGAGCGTGTTGATGAGTATGGTAGTGAGTGTGATGATGAATATGGTAGTGAGTGTGATGGTGAGTATGGTAGTGAGTGTGATGATGAGTATGCTAGTGAGTGTGTTGATGAGTATGGTAGTGAGTGTGATGATGAGTATGGTAGTGAGTGTGATGGTGAGTATGGTAGTGAGTGTGTTGATGAGTATGGTAGTCAGCGTGTTGGTGAGTATGGTAGTGAGTGTGATGATGAGTATGGTAGTGAGTGTGATGATGAGTATGGTAGTGAGTGTGCTGGTGAGTATGGTAGTGAGTGTGTTGATGAGTATGGTAGTGAGTGTGTTGGTGAGTATGGTAGTGAGTGTGATGGTGAGTATGGTAGTGAGTGTGATGGTGAGTATGGTAGTGAGTGTGTTGATGAGTATGGTAGTGAGCGTGCTGGTTAGTATGGTAGTTAGTGTGATGATGAGTATGGTAGTGAGTGTGATGATGAGTATGGTAGTGAGTGTGATGATGAGTATGGTAGTGAGTGTGATGATGAGTATGCTAGTGAGCGTGTTGATGAGTATGGTAGTGAGTGTGATGATGAGTATGGTAGTGAGTGTGATGGTGAGTATGGTAGTGAGTGTGATGATGAGTATGCTAGTGAGTGTGTTGATGAGTATGGTAGTGAGTGTGATGATGAGTATGGTAGTGAGTGTGATGGTGAGTATGGTAGTGAGCGTGTTGATGAGTATGGTAGTGAGTGTGATGATGAGTATGGTAGTGAGTGTGATGGTGAGTATGGTAGTGAGTGTGATGATGAGTATGCTAGTGAGTGTGTTGATGAGTATGGTAGTGAGTGTGATGATGAGTATGGTAGTGAGTGTGATGATGAGTATGCTAGTGAGCGTGTTGATGAGTATGGTAGTGAGTGTGATGATGAGTATGGTAGTGAGTGTGATGGTGAGTATGGTAGTGAGTGTGATGGTGAGTATGGTAGTGAGTGTGTTGATGAGTATGGTAGTGAGCGTGCTGGTTAATATGGTAGTTAGTGTGATGATGAGTATGGTAGTGAGTGTGATGATGAGTATGGTAGTGAGTGTGATGATGAGTATGGTAGTGAGTGTGATGATGAGTATGCTAGTGAGCGTGTTGATGAGTATGGTAGTGAGTGTGATGATGAGTATGGTAGTGAGTGTGATGATGAGTATGCTAGTGAGTGTGTTGATGAGTATGGTAGTGAGTGTGATGATGAGTATGGTAGTGAGTGTGATGGTGAGTATGGTAGTGAGCGTGTTGATGAGTATGGTAGTGAGTGTGATGATGAGTATGGTAGTGAGTGTGATGGTGAGTATGGTAGTGAGTGTGATGATGAGTATGGTAGTGAGTGTGATGATGAGTATGGTAGTGAGTGTGATGGTGAGTATGGTAGTGAGTGTGATGATGAGTATGGTAGTGAGTGTGATGATGAGTATGCTAGTGAGTGTGTTGATGAGTATGGTAGTGAGTGTGATGATGAGTATGGTAGTGAGTGTGATGATGAGTATGGTAGTTAGTGTGATGATGAGTATGGTAGTGAGTGTGATGATGAGTATGGTAGTGAGTGTGATGATGAGTATGGTAGTGAGTGTGATGATGAGTATGCTAGTGAGCGTGTTGATGAGTATGGTAGTGAGTGTGATGATGAGTATGGTAGTGAGTGTGATGATGAGTATGGTAGTGAGTGTGATGGTGAGTATGGTAGTGAGTGTGATGATGAGTATGCTAGTGAGTGTGATGGTGAGTATGGTAGTGAGTGTGATGATGAGTATGGTAGTGAGCGTGTTGATGAGTATGGTAGTGAGTGTGATGATGAGTATGGTAGTGAGTGTGTTGATGAGTATGGTAGTGAGTGTGTTGGTGAGTACGGTAGTGAGTGTGATGGTGAGTATGGTAGTGAGTGTGCTGGTGAGTATGGTAGTGAGTGTGTTGATGAGTATGGTGTTGAGCGTGCTGGTTAGTATGGTAGTGAGTGTGATGATGAGTATGGTAGTGAGTGTGATGGTGAGTATGGTAGTGAGTGTGATGATGAGTATGGTAGTGAGTGTGATGATGAGTATGGTAGTGAGTGTGTTGGTGAGTATGGTAGTGAGTGTGTTGGTGAGTATGGTAGTGAGTGTGATGGTGAGTATGGTAGTGAGTGTGATGATGAGTATGGTAGTGAGTGTGTTGATGAGTATGGTAGTGAGTGTGTTGGTGAGTATGGTAGTGAGTGTGATGGTGAGTATGGTAGTGAGTGTGATGATGAGTATGGTAGTGAGTGTGTTGATGAGTATGGTAGTGAGTGTGATGATGAGTATGGTAGTGAGTGTGATGATGAGTATGGTAGTGAGTGTGATGATGAGTATGGTAGTGAGTGTGTTGATGAGTATGGTAGTGAGTGTGTTGGTGAGTATGGTAGTGAGCGTGATGGTGAGTATGGTAGTGAGTGTGTTGATGAGTATGGTAGTGAGCGTGATGATGAGTATGGTAGTGAGTGTGATGATGAGTATGGTAGTGAGTGTGTTGATGAGTATGGTAGTGAGTGTGATGATGAGTATGGTAGTGAGTGTGATGGTGAGTATGGTAGTGAGTGTGTTGATGAGTATGGTAGTGAGTGTGTTGGTGAGTATGGTAGTGAGCGTGATGGTGAGTATGGTAGTGAGTGTGATGATGAGTATGGTAGTGAGTGTGCTGGTGAGTATGGTAGTGAGTGTGATGATGAGTATGCTAGTGAGCGTGTTGATGAGTATGGTAGTGAGTCCGTGAGCGAGGCGGCAGTCAGCGGAGTGAGCGACCTACCTGGGAGCCTTCGACGCTCCGCGTGGCCTCCAAAAGTGCTCGTGACCTGCGTCACAAGCGCCCTCGTGACGGCGCCGCTGCCGCTTTGGTGGCGAACGGGCGACTGCCGTCGTCGTCATCGATGTTGAAGCGAGTGAGCCGGCGATTTCTGTCGGCGTGCATCCCCCCGGTCAGCTGTCGAGCGCGTGCCGCGTGGCGGTGCATGCCGGCGTGGTGCAGAACGCGCGCGGCGGCTACGTGGACCTGATGCCCGTCGACAAGAAGTCTGAGTATCTCGCCTCCTTCCAGAACGGCATCTTCTCCGAGAGGTGCGGCCACCTGCGTGCGTCTGTGCGTGTGTCTGTGCGTGTGTGTGTCTGTGCGTGTATGTGTGTCTGTGCGTGTGTGTGTGTCTGTGCGTGTGTGTGCGTGTGTGTCTGTGCGTGCGTGTCTGTGCGTGCGTGTGTCTGTGCGTGTGTCTGTCTGTGTGTGTGTCTGTGCGTGTGTGTGTCTGTGCGTGTATGTGTGTCTGTGCGTGTGTGTGTGTCTGTGCGTGTGTGCGCGTGTGCGTGTCTGTGCGTGCGTGTGTCTGTGCGTGTGTCTGTCTGTGTGTGTGTCTGTGCGTGTGTGGTGCAGTGCGTGTGTGTCTGTACGTGCGTGTGTCTGTGCGTGCGTGTGTCTGTGCGTGTGGTGTGTGTGCGTGTATGTGTCTGTGCGTGTGTGTCTGTGCGTGTGTGTGTGTCTGTGCGTGTGGTCTGTGCGTGTGTCTGTGCGTGTGTGGTGCAGTGCGTGTGTGTCTGTACGTGCGTGTGTCTGTGCGTGTGTGTGTCTGTGCGTGTGTGCGCGTGTGCGTGTGTGTCTGTGCGTGCGTGTCTGTGCGTGCGTGTGTCTGTGCGTGTGTCTGTCTGTGTGTGTGTCTGTGCGTGTGTGTGTCTGTGCGTGTATGTGTGTCTGTGCGTGTGTGTGTGTCTGTGCGTGTGTGCGCGTGTGCGTGTCTGTGCGTGCGTGTGTCTGTGCGTGTGTCTGTCTGTGTGTGTGTCTGTGCGTGTGTGGTGCAGTGCGTGTGTGTCTGTACGTGCGTGTGTCTGTGCGTGCGTGTGTCTGTGCGTGTGTGTGTGTGCGTGTATGTGTCTGTGCGTGTGTGTCTGTGCGTGTGTGTGTGTCTGTGCGTGTGTGTCTGTGCGTGTGTGTCTGTGCGTGTGTGTGTGTCTGTGTCTGTGTGTGTGTGTGTCTGTGTCTGTGTGTGTCTGTGAATGTGTGTCTGTCTGTGCGTGTGTGTGTCTGTGCGTGCGTGTCTGTGCGTGTGTGAGTGTATGTGCGTGTCTCTGCATGCGTGTGTGTATGTGCGTGTGTCTCTGCGTGTGTGCATGCGTGTGTCTGTGCGTGCGTGTGTCTGTGCGTGCGTGTGGTGCATCTCCGTCAGTCGAACCATGGCACCTGCTGGGTCTGTCTCGTGGCCTCCTGCCAGCGGGCGTTCGACACCTCACGTGGCCTTAACGTGCACGTAGCCTGGCACAAGCGCCGTGGTGACGTCAGCGCCACTTAGTTGTTGTCGTTGATGCGAGGGGAGCGGTGGCTTCACGGTTAGCGCTGCGCCACGAACCCGGCGCCCCGAGTTCGATTCCCCGCTCACGGCCACCAACACTGGCGACGATTATCCGAACCGGTCCTGGGCCTCCCCGAGGTCGACTCGGCCTCAAATGAGTTACCTGGTGCGGTGTGTAAAACATCGCAAGCGGGAAGACAAAGGCGGCCGGGCGTTGTGCTGGCAACCTGCCCCCTCGTGTGCCGTGCCGGCCTTAATAGGTGCTCGCTAACAGCGCTCACCCCAACGTTTATGGCGATGCGGGGGGGGGGGGGTCTTTGCGGTGTGAGTGTAACAACAAGCGGCGACGCACTACCGCTAGGCCATGTTACGTGATTGTGATGATGTCGTTGAGTTTGGTTGAGTGTGTGGTTGACTGTGGTTGAGTGTGGTTGACTGTGGTTGAGTGTGGTTGACCGTGGTTGAGTGTGGTTGACTGTGGTTGACTGTAGTTGACCGTGGTTGACCGTGGTTGAGTGTGGTTGAGTGTGGTTGACTGTGGTTGACCCGTTCGTTCTCTCCACAGTTTGCAGAACCCCCCGGGAGGGAAGGCGTTCCGAGTGTTTGCCGTCATCTGACCCCGTGACCCCGTGACCTGTGACTCTCTACGTACAACGATGAAATGCAACGAGCAGCGATCGGCCTCGTGGGGATTACGCGGCCACGACACCACATTGACACCACACTCACCACACTCACCACACTCACACCACACTGACACCACACTCACCACACTCACCACACTCACCACACTCACACCACATTGACACCACACTCACCACACTCACCACACTCACCACATTGACACCACACTCACCACACTCACACCACACTCACCACATTGACACCACACTCACAACATTGACACCGCACTCACCACACTCACCACACTCACCACACTCACACCACACTCACCACATTTACACCACACTCACAACATTGACACCAAACTCACCACACTCACCACACTCACCACACTCCCACACCACACTCACCACATTGACACCACACTCACCACACTCACCACACTCACCACATTGACACCGCACTCACCACACTGACACCACACTCACCACATTGACACCACACTCACCGCACTCACCACACTCACCACATTGACACCGCACTCACCACACTCACCACACTCACCACATTGACACCACACTCACCGCACTCACCACACTCACCACATTGACACCACACTCACCACACTCACCACATTGACACCACACTCACCACACTCACCACACTCACCACATTGACACCACACTCACCGCACTCACCACACTCACCACATTGACACCACACTCACCACACTCACCACACTCACCACACTCACCACATTGACACCACACTCACCACACTCACCACACTCACCACACTCACCACATTGACACCGCACTCACCACACTGACACCACACTCACCACACTCACCACACTCACCACATTGACACCACACTCACCACACTCACCACACTCACCACACTCCCACACCACACACACCACACTCACACCACACTGACGCCACACTCACCACATTGACACCACACTCACCACATTGACATCACACTGACACCACACTCACCACACTCACCACACTCACCACACTCACCACACTCACACCACTCACCACACTCACACCACACTCACCACACTCACACCACACTGACACCACACTCACCACACTCACCACACTCACACCACACTCACCACACTCACACCACACTGACACCACACTCACCACACTCACCACACTCACACCACACTCACCACACTCACACCACATTGACACCACACTCACCACACTCACCACACTCACCACATTGACACCACACTCACCACACTCACACCACACTCACCACATTGACACCACACTCACAACATTGACACCGCACTCACCACACTCACCACACTCACACCACACTCACCACATTGACACCACACTCACAACATTGACACCAAACTCACCACACTCACCACACTCACCACACTCCCACACCACACTCACCACATTGACACCACACTCACCACACTCACCACACTCACCACACTCCCACACCACACTCACCACATTGACACCACACTCACCACACTCACCACATTGACACTACACTCACCACATTGACACCACACTCACCACACTCACCACACTCACCACATTGACACTACACTCACCACATTGACACCGCACTCACCACATTGACACCGCACTCACCACATTGACACCACACTCACCACACTCACCACATTGACACCACACTCAACACACTCACCACACTCACCACATTGACACCGCACTCACCACACTCACACCATTGACACCACACTCACCACACTCACCACACTCACTACACTCACACCACACTCCCCACATTGACACCGCACTCACCACACTCACCACATTGACACCACACTCACCACACTCACCACACTCACCACACTCACACCACACTCACCGCACTGACACCACACTGACACCACACTCACCACACTCACCACACTCACCACACTCACACCACTCACCACACTCACCACACTCACCACACTCACACCACTCACCACACTCACCACACTCACACCACACTCACCACACTCACACCACACTGACACCACACTCACCACACTCACCACACTCACACCACACTGACACCACACTCACCACACTCACCACACTCACCACACTCACACCACATTGACACCACACTCACCACACTCACCACACTCACCACATTGACACCACACTCACCACACTCACACCACACTCACCACATTGACACCACACTCACAACATTGACACCGCACTCACCACACTCACCACACTCACCACACTCACACCACACTCACCACATTGACACCACACTCACCACACTCACCACACTCACCACATTGACACTAGACTCACCACATTGACACCACACTCACCACACTCACCACACTCACCACACTCCCACACCACACTCACCACATTGACACCACACTCACCACACTCACCACATTGACACTACACTCACCACATTGACACCACACTCACCACACTCACCACACTCACCACATTGACACTACACTCACCACATTGACACCGCACTCACCACATTGACACCGCACTCACCACATTGACACCACACTCACCACACTCACCACACTCACCACATTGACACCACACTCAACACACTCACCACACTCACCACATTGACACCGCACTCACCACACTCACACCATTGACACCACACTCACCACACTCACCACACTCACCACACTCACACCACACTCCCCACATTGACACCGCACTCACCACACTCACCACATTGACACCACACTCACCACACTCACCACACTCACTACACTCACACCACACTCACCACACTCACCACACTCACCACATTGACACCACACTCACCACACTCACCACACTCACCACATTGACACTACACTCACCACATGACACCGCACTCACCACATTGACACCGCACTCACCACATTGACACCACACTCACCACACTCACCACATTGACACCACACTCAACACACTCACCACACTCACCACATTGACACCGCACTCACCACACTCACACCATTGACACCACACTCACCACACTCACCACACTCACTACACTCACACCACACTCCCCACATTGACACCGCACTCACCACACTCACCACATTGACACCACACTCACCACACTCACCACACTCACCACACTCACCACATTGACACTAGACTCACCACATTGACACCACACTCACCACACTCACCACACTCACCACACTCACACCACACTCACCGCACTGACACCACACTGACACCACACTCACCACACTCACCACACTCACCACACTCACACCACTCACCACACTCACCACACTCACCACACTCACACCACTCACCACACTCACCACACTCACACCACACTCACCACACTCACACCACACTGACACCACACTCACCACACTCACCACACTCACACCACACTGACACCACACTCACCACACTCACCACACTCACCACACTCACACCACATTGACACCACACTCACCACACTCACCACACTCACCACATTGACACCACACTCACCACACTCACACCACACTCACCACATTGACACCACACTCACAACATTGACACCGCACTCACCACACTCACCACACTCACCACACTCACACCACACTCACCACATTGACACCACACTCACCACACTCACCACACTCACCACATTGACACTAGACTCACCACATTGACACCACACTCACCACACTCACCACACTCACCACACTCCCACACCACACTCACCACATTGACACCACACTCACCACACTCACCACATTGACACTACACTCACCACATTGACACCACACTCACCACACTCACCACACTCACCACATTGACACTACACTCACCACATTGACACCGCACTCACCACATTGACACCGCACTCACCACATTGACACCACACTCACCACACTCACCACACTCACCACATTGACACCACACTCAACACACTCACCACACTCACCACATTGACACCGCACTCACCACACTCACACCATTGACACCACACTCACCACACTCACCACACTCACCACACTCACACCACACTCCCCACATTGACACCGCACTCACCACACTCACCACATTGACACCACACTCACCACACTCACCACACTCACCACATTGACACTAGACTCACCACATTGACACCACACTCACCACACTCACCACACTCACCACACTCACCACACTCACCACACTCACACCACACTCACCGCACTGACACCACACTGACACCACACTCACCACACTCACCACACTCACCGCACTGACACCGCACTCACCACACTCACCACACTCACCACACTCACATCACACTGACACCGCACTCACCGCACCACACTCACACCACACTCTCACCACACTTACACCACACTGACACCGCACTCACCGCACCACACTCACACCACACTTACACCACACTCACCACACTCACCGCACTGACACCGCACTGACACCGCACTCACACCGCACTCACCACACTCACCACACTCACACCACACTGACACCGCACTCACCGCACCGCACTCACACCGCAGCACACGCACCTTGTGTGAGGGTTTCGAGGGCACAGAGGGCGGGCGGGAGGGTTAAGGTCTGGATTTGGGGGTTGAGGTGAGTCTCAGGGTAAAGTGGATAGAGGTGAGGCTATGGGTGAGGGGGTAGGAGTGAGGCTATGGGTGAGGGGGTAGTGGTGAGGCTATGGGTGAGGGGGTAGAGGTGAGGCTATGGGTGAGGGGGTAGTGGTGAGGCTATGGGTGAGGGGGTAGTGGTGAGGCTATGGGTGAGGGGGTAGTGGTGAGGCTATGGGTGAGGGGATAAGGGTGAGGCTATGGGTGAGGGGATAGGGGTGAGGCTATGGGTGAGGGGGTAGGAGTGAGGCTATGGGTGAGGGGGTAGTGGTGAGGCTATGGGTGAGGGGATAAGGGTGAGGCTATGGGTGAGGGGATAGGGGTGAGGTTATGGGTGAGGGGGTAGTGGTGAGGCTATGGGTGGGGGGTAGTGGTGAGGCTATGGGTGAGGGGGTAGAGGTGAGGCTATGGGTGAGGGGGTAGTGGTGAGGCTATGGGTGAGGGGGTAGAGGTGAGGCTATGGGTGAGGGGGTAGTGGTGAGGCTATGGGTGAGGGGGTAGTGGTGAGGCTATGGGTGAGGGGATAAGGGTTAGGTGTAGGGGTGAGGTGTAGGGGTTAGGTATAGGGGTTAAGTGTAGGGGTTAAGTGTAGGGTTTAGGTGTAGGGGTTAGGTGTAGGGGTTAGGTGTAGGGGTTAAGTGTAGGGTTTAGGTGTAGGGGTTAGGTGTTGGAGTCGCGGTGTGTGAGGGCATTGGGGGTGGGGTAGGGCTGAACTGCTTGTGTGTGTCTGTGTGATCGTGCCAAGACCGTGCCTTTAATTAAACACGCACACTCCAATGCGTCGGTGCTTCCGCGGATTTCTTCTCCACTACGTCTCGTGCCTCCGCGTATTTCCATGGCTCTGGGTGCGTTGTGGGGGGGGGGGTCCTGGTGTAGATGAGAAACTGGGTCCATGCATGTGTAAAGTAGTAACTCGGCAGGAGACGACTTCACGGGTAGCACACTCTTTATTTCACCAACTTGTAGTTACACGGATGACTAACACCCTACTCCGTTGCACGGGTGACTAACACCCACTTAGCTACACGGGTGACGGACACCCACTCAGCTACACGGGTGACCAACACCCACTCAGCTACTCGGGTGACCAACACCCACTCAGCTACTCGGGTGACCAACACCCCCTCAGCTACACGGGTGACCAACACCCACTCAGCTACTCGGGTGACCAACACCCACTCAGCTACTCGGGTGATCAACACCCACTCAGCTGTACTGACACGTGCTCTTACGCCCCGTAGCCTTCCGGGACACACCCAGCCGGGGTGCCCGTCTCGGCTCTGGGTACCACCGTCCCGACCCACACGGGCGTCGGACTACGGTTTCCTCAGTCTCGGCTCCGAGCCACACAGGGCCCCGGTCCCCACACAGGGCCCCGGTCCCCACAAGGACGGCGGGACTAGGGGTCTCGGGCCACTACCTCCTCCACCCCGTCTTCGGTCTTCAACTGGTTAACACTGACCACGAGTGCTCTCGCGCGTCTCCCTTTATACCCCTCCTGCGGACGTCGCTGAGAGCACCCACTTATCTGACCAATCACTGCGCACTCGCTACGATCCTCTTTTCCCAGCTTGTGTGAGCGCGCCTTACCACCGGCGCGCGCGTCCATGCCACGCCCACATCGCGTGCCCAACCCCGCGCCCCGTGATCCATCACTGCCGGCGCACGTGAATACCACCACTACATCACCCCCTACCACATAGCTCGCAGCCGACCCGGCTGCCAATAAAACATACAACACCCCTTCACCCCCATGTGTGCCCCGTAACATAACACAAACCCTAACAACACAACATGAACACCGCAATCCGCAAAACCCAGCAACCCCCACACCCACAACAAGAACAACATGCACAATCCGGCGAGTGGCAACGATACTGTGTATGCGGAAAAAATAACAATAAAAAAAATGTCTTTAATCATTTTCTCTTCTTTTCTCTCCGACTCATGCAGCGTCCCAATGTGTCCGAGCGTCCCTTGAACGGGACATTACCCCGGCAGAGGGGGAAGCCGGCAACGAGGTCGGGCTTTAACAAAAAAAGAAATTTATTTATTTTTTCATGAAAAGTGTTGCGTCCTTGCCCGAGTCCGCCTTGCCGGACCGTCGTACGGCACAGGACGCAGTTGGCCATCCGGCGGCGCCAGCAGTTCAGGAAGGCATGGGCCAGGCATCGGGGCTCCGCGCGAGCCGCGGGGTTCCGGTTCCCGACGGTCAACAGCCGTCAGGTCCGAGACACCTGGGGGTGGGTCAGGTGGAGACACGTGAGGATCAGCCTGCGACACATCCCTCCCCGAGTCGACGGTCACATCACACGCTCGGTCGTCACGGCACAACCCGGGGTCACGCGGCGCCGCGTAGGGTTTCAGTCGGGAGGGGTGCACGTACCAACGGCGTTTTCCCCATTTAATCTGTATACTCTGGGGTCGTGCAACCCGCACAATTTCCACCGGTCCCCTCCATGGTTTCAACAGTTTGGGGGACGTAGCCAACGGTGCGTGTGGACAATGCAGCCAGGCCTTATCGCCCGGTTCCCAATTGTGCGTATGCACCTTCCGTTCATGCAATCGCTCGTTCGCGATCTGCCGAGAGCGTGAATTCAATCTCGCAGCCTCTCGCGCCTCAGCCAATTTGGCGATGTTAAACTTAATGTGGTCTGCCAATTTAGATTTTGCACGTGGCTGTGAAATCCCCAGTTGGACGTCCATGGCCGGATCAGCCTCCCGCCCATACATCAGAAAAAATGGAGAAAACCCCGTCGCCGCATGGGGTGCCATCCGATAGGCCGCTAGTACCCCCGGTACCTGTAAGTCCCAATCCACCTGGTCGTCGCATACCTGTTGGCACAGCATAGACGTAATCGTCCTGTTCAGACGTTCAACCATACCGTCAGTCTGCGGGTGGTACGGGGAGGTACGTACTTTCTTTGTACCCAACAGGTCGCACACCTCGCGCAACAAAACACTCGAAAAGTTTTTCCCTTGATCCGTCAGCAAGCGTTCGGGGGCGCCTTTGTCCAAAACGTAACCTTGGACAAAGGCGTCCGCCACTGCCGCAGCCGACTGGTTGGCGAGTGGCCACGCCATGGGCCAGCGGGTGAAGTACTCTACGCCAACCAGCAGGAACTTATTTCCCCGAGGTGTAGTGGGAAAGGGCCCCAAGATGTCTAGCGCGACCAATTCGTTCGTGCGCGAAACTTGAATGGATTGCAGCGGTGGATTAGCCGCTATTGGTGGCGGTTTTCTTTTAGCGCACCCTACACACCCCTTAAGAATGTTCGCCACGTAATTTCCCATCCCAGGCAAATAGTAGTCTCGCTGAATGAGGGCGAGCGTTTTGTGAAACCCCAGATGCATGAGTCGTTCATGGGCAGCCAGGACGACCTTACCCCGTACAGCAACCGGCACCACAAGCATGTGACGCCGGGACATGGAGTCCCACTTCATCAAGAGGCCCTGTCTGCACACCCAGGAACCGACCCGCGTTTCCCCGCCCTCGGGAACGTTAACCTTCCGACGTAGCGCGAGTAGGGAGCTGTCGGCCATTTGCAGACGGCCCCACTCGATGAGAGGCAATGCTAACAGCGAGTCCCTCCCCGTGGGGGCGTCGACCCCCGTAGTATCCGTGGCGGCTAGCACCACTTCCGCGGGGACAGCGACAGAGGGTTTACATCGCGCCGATCCTAACTGACATGCGCATTCCGTACGCGTCGGCAACCGTGACAATGCATCCGCATTCGAGTGGCGCAACCCCTTGCGGTAAATCGTCGTGAATTGGTAGTCCTGAAGGACCTCCAACCATCGGGACAATTGGCCGGATGGCTGCGCCACCCGCATAGCGTATTGGAGAGCCGCATGGTCCGTGCGAACCGTAAAGTGACGGCCATACAGATACGGCCTGAATTGCTGTATAAAAAACACAATCGCCAGCAATTCACGCCGTGTCACGCAGTAGCGTTGTTCCGCGGGGGACAGAACCCTGCTACCGTAGGCGACCACCCGTTCGACCCCCCCGACCACCTGTGAGAGCACTCCCCCGATACCCGTGTTACTGGCATCCGTGTCGAGCACAAACGGTTGCGTGAAATCGGGGTAACACAAGGGGGGAGCCTGCACCAAGGCGTCACGAAGGGAGCAGAACGCGGCCTCCTCCTCCGGCCCCCAGTGAAACCGCACCCCTTTAGCCGTCAAAGCGTGCAGGGGCCTGGCTATGGTGGCAAACTGCTTGACAAAACGACGGTAATAGGGGGCAAATCCTATGAAGCTGCGGACTTCAGTAACAGAGGTCGGTGTTGGCCATGAGCCGACGCATTGCGTCTTAGCAGGGTCCGTCGAGATCCCCGAACGGCTAACGATATGGCCCAAATACCTGACCGATTCCCGAAGCAGAAAACATTTAGCTGGTTTAAATTTTAGCTTCGCGGAACGCATCCTGAGAAACACTGCTCTCAGTCGCTGGAGGTGCTCCTCAAAAGTTCGGCTGAAAACGATGATATCATCGAGGTAAATCAAACAGGTGTCCCATTGAAGGCCTGACAAAACCAATTCCATGAGCCTCTGGAACGTGGCAGGAGCGGAATGTAAACCCATGGGCAATCGGTTGAACTCAAATAGGCCTCCCGGTGTCCGGAAAGCGGTTTTAGGTTTTGATTCGTCATCGAGGGGCAATTGCCAAAATCCCGAAAGCAAATCGAGCGTCGAAAAAAACTGTGCTCCTGCCAAGGCATCCAGCGACTCATCCATCCTGGGGAGCGGATACGCATCGGCCATTGATATTTTGTTTAGGCGGTGGAAATCGACACAGAACCGCAGGGATCCATCCTGTTTTTTAACCAAGACGATAGGAGCACCCCACGGACTGGAAGAGGGCGCAATGATGTCGGCCGCCAACATGTCATTTACTGCCGACTGCACATGCTCCTTCTCGGCTGGACTGAGCCGGAAGGGATTCTGTCGAATAGGGGCCGCGTCCCCAGTCTCTATGTGGTGGCGCAACAGGTCTGTGCAGCCAATGTCGTA